CGGTCTTTGATGATAGATGTTCTTTGCACTTTCGATGACGTGGAAAAACATGAGGCGTACTCCCGTATAAGGCTCTCGATTTTTTGTTTCTGGTTCAGTGATGGGGCTGCTTCGATGTGGATAGATGCGAGTATGGAATCTATACCGTCAGGGTGCAGTTGTGCACTCTCGGAAGAATTCAAATCCGTAATCGGAACGTAATCGTGAGAGTGACCAACAACAGTTCCCTTCACAAGGTGCTGCACCTCATTTCGGAAATTTGTCAGGAAGACACTCGTACACCCATCGCGCAGTCGTACAATACCTCTTGCTGCACAGATCCTTTTCTCGAGTAATAGCCCAGTATTGCTTTCTGCCATTCCTTCATAGTCGTTGTACACATTGCTTTTTACGGTAACAACGATGATGGATCTTGCAGGTACTGTTACATCGTCACCTGCAATCTGGAGCGCATCGAATCGTTTTTCACTCTTGACTGTCACGATGGCGTGTTTCGTCGAGAACGAGACGCACGTTTCCTGCAACTTTATCACTGCGCCATTGGCCTGCAAAAAGTCCATTCCGATAATTACATCTCTTGAACACTCCGACAGGACAATGAAGCTGGCGACGTAGGAGAAGCTGCGTATCCCGACTCTAGAGGTACACATGTCTGCCGGATCGGTAAGGTGTCTCCGGCGCTTCGCACTTGTGGTCCTATCCAAGGGGTCAGCACTTTTTTCAGCGTTCTGGCACGTCCCCTGCTCATGACGCAATATTCTGCGCCTGTGTCTACCAAAGCATTCGTTTCGTAGCCATCTATAGTTACCGACAAATCAGAAGCGACGTTACCGTTTCCGCACGTAGTCTCGTGTCCATCATCACATTTTGAAATCGGCACTGGAGATTGTTTTCTAGCGTCGGCAGCGGCCTTACCTCCCCAGGTCACCGATTCTAGTTTTCCCGAAGCGGGCTTTGGGGAAGTGGCCTCGGAGAGTTTGAAGATGGGTGCGGACTTGGTGACCGATACCTCAGTGGCGCTGTCGACCAAGACTGATGCTGCTGCGAGGAGTGAGCACCTTGACGCGTTGACAAGTACTCTTCGATTTCAAAAGGTTGCTCCCCATTCCGTGGACAGGCAGCGTTTACGGGAAAACCCCCGAAGTCCAGTTCGGCGATATTCACACATCCGGTAAAGATGACCAGCTTCGTCGCAGTGATAACAAAGCGGAATTCGATCAGGAGTGCGCCATATATCAGCTCTTCGGATCCTAGTCTCGGCTGGGGACGACGTAAATCGAGGTTTTGGCAGATGCGTGCTTGCTGCGGCGAAATAAGGTCCAGGGGCGGTGAAAGGAGGTCTAGGGGCGACGAAATGAGGTACAGGGGCGCTTCTCAGTACCTCGGCGTACGAGACGGCGGGCTGCATTGGAAATGACGCTTGAACAGGCTGGGCTTGTGGCTGCTGCTCACGGACTGCCTGTCTCACCTTCTCCCGAACAACTTCCGCTAATGACGAGACCATTGAGGGGTTGCCGTTTAGCTTCTGGAGCTCTTCTCGAACCACCGATCGAATGAGCTCTCGTAATACGTCGATGTCATTCCCGAAGACTGATGACACCACGTCTACGGAAGCGACGTTAACATCTTGATTGTAGTGCCTCACTCGCTGTTTCAGAGTCTTTTCAACCGGTCGCCTCGGTGCGAAATTCAGTGACGTTCCGCGGGGGACTCTTGTATCCTGAATATAGTACCTGCAGTTTCGATTTCTGTGTTTGAGTTGGCAACACTGGGTCCTTGTGATTGTATATATTTGTGGAACGTCTAATAAAAAAGCAGAGTATGCAACCGCTACCCGTGAGTGCGAGGCACGTCGCTCGTTCACTACAATGGCGACGAGTGTTTGAACCCCGTCTGAGATAGTTCTCGGGGGATAACCAACCACGTTCCCCAGATGGCTTTCGCTGGAATCGCCCCACCGGATCCGTTCCTTCCGACACTGGGTCGTCCCGTGCAGCCATGGTTCCGATGGCACGACATGTTCAAGGTCTATCTGCTGGCGACCGGTGCTTCAGAGTTCTCCCCAGAGTGACGCAAGGCTCTTCGACTACATTCCTTTGGACCCGAAGGTCAACGTATCTTCAATATTCTGTCTATTTCGCAGGCGGCCGAAAAGACTGAGGAGGAAAGGATCGGAGCTACGCCCGACGTGTATGACACCGCGGTAGCGGCACTGGCTAAGCACTTCGATGCCACCTGAAACCTGGTCGTTGAGCGCCACCGATTTTACCATCGAATTCAGTTTCCGGGCGAGTCTATTCAAGAATACGTGACTGCGCTAACAGAGCTTGCAGCGATGTGCTCATTCATGTCGCAAGAAGAGTCACTACGTGACCAGTTTGTTGCCAGTGTGTCTTCGCATCGTATTCGAAAACGCCTTGTTAGAAGGGTCTTCGCTTTCGTTCAACAAGGCAGTTGCTCTCGCGAGTCAAATCGAGCAGGCAGCAGTGGAAATGAAGGAATTTTCCGTCTCTGTGCAACCAGTATCTGCGCAGTCTGACACAAAAGGCGGTTCATCGTTGCAGTCACTGAATTCACTGCCGCGTGCTCGCACTTTCAGTCAACGCGATAAGGCAGCTACATCGGGGAACCACCCCCCATCTCGACAGCGCTTTCCATCGAACGAGCAGCAACACGCGAATTCTTCGTATTGCTTCAGGTGGGGTTCTAAACAGCATCGCGCTTCTTATAAACGCTGCCCAGCTAAAAGAAAAAAATGCTTCTTTTGTGGTGTATCGGACATTTTGAAAACGTTTGCAACCAGAAGCGGTCGCAAGCAGCTGTCCACGAGGTTTCAGGACATAGCCCGTTGCAGGATGAAACTGTCGAGGTTCTTGTAGTTCAACAGCCTCTTGCATCCGGTATTCACATTAACATACAAATCGGGCAGGTCGCTATGAAGCTGTTAGTCGATTCTGGCTCTTCCGTTTCCATTCTTTCAGGCAAGGTATTTGACCAACATTTCTCTGGTGTGCCGCTTTTTCCTGTTCCTAATGTGGCGCTTCTGAATTATTCCAAAAGAACAATTTCGGTTCGAGGCTAATTCTTTTCTGAGGTATTTTTCGAGAATCGCAGTGCACCGCTTTTGTTTTATGTCGTCGAACAGGGTACTTCTCTCGTTGGCTTGGATGGTATTAAGGCCTTCAAGCTGTGTATTGAAGGCTCTCAGATGAAGTGTTTTCAAATCAGCACGGTACCGAAGCCGAGGTAGCTAGGACATGTCCAATAGAGCCATCCATGCAGCTGCCGTCAGCACTTCAGCAAAGGTTTTGCTCGCTCTTCACAGATGAGCCGGGCCTTGCAAAAGGTTTTGTTCACGGGATTAAGACGCGTGCGGGTGTTCAGCCAGTAGCATCATAACTTCGCCGGCTTCCTTTCATGTTACGACCACGCGTGTCTTCGGAACTGCAGCGCCTGCAAAGCTTGGACATCATTAAACGTATCGATGCGTCAGAATGGGTGTCCCCTATTGTAGTCATTCAGAAGAAAGATGAAAGTATTAGGCTTTGTGTAGATTTACGCGAACCTAACAGGGTCATTGTTCCGGACAGCTTTCCGCTGCCTCATATTGGATGAGTTGCTTCAAGCCTTGGTGGGTGCCACACACTTTCCCAAACCCGACTAAGCGTCTGCCTACCACCAAGTTCCCCTGGAACCTGAGAGCAGGGACTTGACAGCTTTTATTACACATGAAGGGCTGTACCGGTTCAAACGCGTTTGTTTTGGGCTAGCCTCAGCACCTGCTGCTTTTCAGAGTATGATGTCTCGAATCCTTCGCAATTGAGCGGTTTCCTCCTTTACATCGACGATGTAATTATTTTTGGTAAATCAGCTGAGGAGCACCTGAAGAACTTGGAGGCAGTGCTGCAGCGTATCAAAGACGCAGGTCTGAAGCTCAACAGCAAATGTGTGTGTGGAGTTCAGGAGCTCGAATTCTTGGGCCACAAGGTGACACCTCGAAGTATTTCGCCACTGTCAGGGAAAGTGGACGCAATTGTGGAAACCCCAATTCCAAAAATTGCCGCTGAACTCCGCTCCTTTCTTGGGTTGGTGGAATACTACGCCAAGTTTGTGCCACACTTGGCCGAGATGGTAGAACCAGTGAGGGCTTGTTAGAAAAGGCGAAACCTTCACCTGGTCTGTTGAGGTGGATAACAGTTTCCGCGCAGTAAAGGAGGTATTATCGTCAGATCTTGTCTTGCACACGTTTGATCCTGCGCTTCCAATTATCATTTCCACTGATGCATCCGAATGTGGTCTTGAAGCAGTCCTTCAGCAGCACGCTGATAATAAGCCTCGTACGGTTGCTTTTGCATCACGCACGCTATTTCCGGTTGAAAGAAAGTGCGCAGTTGGCGAGAAGGAAGCACTTGCGTGCATTTGGGCATGCGAGCATTGGAACGCATACCTGTGGGGACGGAGCTTCACTCTCTGAACAGACCACCAGGCATTCGTTTCGCTTCTGTCTTCGCAGGGCTCAGGCCGACGCCCACTTAGAATTGCACGTTGGTGCACAAGGCTACTACGTTACGATTTCATGGTTAAGTACCAGAAAGGCTCATCTAACAGAGTAGCCGATGCTCTTTCACGTTTACCCGTTCATATGGCAGATGTAGAGCTGACTTTTGAGAAGAAAAATGTTTCCATGGTTCAACCAAGTTGCCTGACCAAAGAGCAGTTTAAACAAGCGGTTCTTGCTCACGCCACTCTTCAAAAGGTGAAGGAGTTTGTAAATGGGCCTTGGCCGTCACAAAGAGACTTGCTGGAAGGTCTGGAACCATATATCAGAGTTCGAGACGAATTGTCAGTGGTGAGCGAATTGTTGTTGCGTACAGAGAGCTTGTAGTTCCATCATTTCTCGTGGCTCAACTTGTGGCAACAGCACATGAAACTCTCCAGGGTATTGGACGCACCAAAGCCAGACTTCGGGAGCAATTTTGGAGGCCCCGCATGCACAACACATGGAAAAAGAAGTCCACAATTGTAGCATCTGTCAAGCAGCAGATAAATTGGCAAAGACGTCGCCTGCCCCGCTGCAACCTGTCGAGCTACCAGAGAGACCATGGCAGAAACTTGCAATGAATATCGTTGGTTCCCTGGAGAGGGCGCCTCCCGATTGCAGATTTGTGCTGACACTAGTAAATTACTTCTCAAAATGGCCAGAAGTACAGTTTTCAAGGGAAATTTCTACGAGAACCGTGACCGAGTTCCTGCTCAACGTATTTGCACGGGAAGGCTATCCTGAAGCGAAAGTCTGTGATAATGCGCCCAAATTCACGTCAAAGGAATTTTTCAACTTCCTACAAGAGCGAGTGATTCGCCTGTCGCACTCATCTGTTTATTACCCGCAAGCAAACGTACAGATCGAGCGGTTCAACCGTACGTTCAAGACTTACCTACAACTGGCCTCTCTAGAACAACGTCCACTGCGAACTGCTGTACGGGATTACCTCGCCGCATACAGGTGTACACCACACGCCACAACAGGAGTGGCCCCTGCGGTACTTTTACATAGAAGGCTGCCAAGAACGAAGCTTGACATCTTCGGCTTATCGCCCGAGTCCTTCGCAAAGGCACCCTACCAGGAGATGGCCAGGCTGCGGCAACGTGTCAAGCGCAGGCAAGAGTACAGCAAAGCCTACACTGACAGGAGGCGAGCGGCAAAACCGTCAACAGTGGCAGTAGAAGACATGGTGCGTGCGAAGAAACCATCGGTTTCATTCAAAGGTGACATCTCTTTCTCAAAGCCAAGGAAAGTCATCGAGCAATGCGGCCCAGCATCCTTCATTCTTGACGACGGCAAAACATGGAACGTGGCAAAGCTGTGCAAGGTGCCTGCTCAATGCCCTGGCGACAATGGCCTTCAGCAACATTCTGCAGGGCGTGAATATTCGTTCCATCATGATTCCGGTGACGCGACGCTTCTCGCTGCAACATGGCAGCCAGCGTCCGCCGAGGCAAGTGCTCCCGCAGCGAATCATGTGCCTAGTGCAGACTACGATTCCCACTCGCCAACGAGACCAGCTACCGGACAGATTCCTGCTTCAAAAACTGTTTCACGCCCGCCCGTGAACACTACAGAAAAACCTGTGGTGTCGTGCCCACCTTGGTCGTCGCATTCAGCCGCACCGAGAAAGACGGCGACCGGACAGATATAGTTATAAAGTGTGAATGTGTAAATATTCCTTAGTTGGTGTACCTGTTACCCAATGTATTCGATATTTTTGGCATGTGCATCGATAATTTTGTGTGTATGTATTGATGTGTATTTCTTGTTGTGTATTTCTCGTTGCACATATAAACTGTGCCCGATTAACATGTACTAACGTACTAACACCTTCCCAAAATTAAAAAAAATAAATGAGAGAGGGAAAGTGTTGTATCCTGTATATAGTACCTGCAGTTTCGGTTTCTGTGTTTGAGTTCGAAACACTGGGTCCTTGTGATTGTATATATTTGTGGAACGTTTAATAAAAAAAGCAGAGTATGCAACCGCTACCCGTGAGTGCAAGGCACGTCACTCGTTCACTACAGGGACATCGGAGCAAACCAGCAAAAATCTCCTGCTTGACCCCACGCATCAGGTGCCGAAGCTTCTTGTCCTCGCTCATATTTTGATCAGACCGGCGGAATAAGCGGCGCATGTCTTCCCCATACATTGCCACGCTTTCATTGTTGTGCTGGTTTCTTGCTTGCAAGGCAGCTTCAGCTCTTTCCTTGCGGTCTGTACTCGGGTATGTGGCCAGTAGCTTCCGTCGGAAATCATCCCACGATCGAATGGTACTTTCATGGTTTTCGAACCACGTTCGTGCGCTGTCCTGCAATGCGAAATAAACTCGGCGGAGCTTCCGTTCTTTGGTCCATCTGTTGCAGTTGGCGACGCGCTCAAAACCCTCCAGCCAATCCTCGGCGTCTTCATGAGGATCGCCATGAAAAGGGTCCGGTGTCCGAGGCTCATCGACAACGACGTGCGTGGCAGCGACTGGAGACGAAACGACGTGGACGGCAACGGTTGGAGAGGACATTTCGGCCCTCTCACCGGAGACAGCTGGAGACACTCTGGGCTCTGGTGGCAGGGGAAATTCCGGCGGCTCAACACGCAAACGACGGCTGGAGCGCTGATGAACTGGCGTGAGCTCAGTTGGTTCGACTGCTCGTGGTTCCGGGCTGCTTCATCGAAGTCCAACTGGGTTTGGAATCATTACTCGGCTCCTCCACCAGAATTGTTACATACAATCCAAATGTTGTACGAATAACTGTTTATTGGGGCGAACTTGTGCCCGAAAAGTAAAGGAAAATGTAGCGGCGTCTCTAACAATATATATATATATATATATATATATATATATATATATATATATATATATATATATATATATATATATATATAGGTATGGGATATGGCACAACGGGAGCGTTGTCAACAAGGATAAATATATTTATTTCCCAACAGTTTCGGGAGGGGTCCTCCCTTCATCAGGGGATGAGTTATATATCAGGGGATGATATATATATATATAGATTTACTATCGAAGAGTGGCCCGGCAGCTGTGGGCCATGGGCTGGAAAAAACGAGGAAGAAGAGGCAGAATAGAACAGCTTTCCCGACTAACGCGTGTTGTGTCTGTCTCGCTTATTACAATGGCGCAGCCGTTCGACGAACCTGTGTGCGACGATCTGCGTGAAGAAACCGTCCTACGGAGCGGACGCACTCTCCAGCAGCCCGCAGCTCCTGCTACCGTGGCCACAGCATCCGACCTGGCCACCGCGGGTACCGAAGCCAGCGCGCTGCCTGCAGTCGTCCTTGCCAAACCACAAGGTGACTCCACTGACTTGGCTTCGCAAACCGCCTCCTTGGCTAGGGACGCCGTACACGCTCCCTTGGACTTCGCCTCAGGTACCATACCTGAAGCAACGTCAGTACCATCGCCAGAAGACAGGCGTGATTCCTCGCCTGTAGCCGTCAGCGAATTCCACACGGTTCTGCAGGCCATCGCTACTTCGAGCCAGCGTCTTGCAGACGCCACCGTCGCCTTCTCAGCAGCATGTGCACGCACCAAGTTGCCTCCTCCGTCTATGACAGAAATTCGTGACTTTACTGGCATTGATCAAGACCCAACCGTCTGGCTGGATGAAATCTATTCGTTGGCCCGTCGACATGCATGGCCTGACGACGTGACGCTATCACTAGCCGTAAGCCGACTGCGCGAGTCCGCCAAAGCGTGGCATCAATACGATGGCTTCAAGTACAAATCCTGGAGTGACTGGAATACAGCCTTCGTCACGGCCTTCCCCCCACTTCCATCCGCATACGATGACCATCTCATGCGCATGCGATCGCGTCGGCAGGCTCTATCGGAAGACGCCCGTAAATACGTCTACGATAAGCTCGGGCTTCTCGACAAATGTGGCATTACATGGATCTCCCCGGCTGCCCACCAGTATGTCGTTGATGGCTTGGCTGACCCTACCCATGCTGCCATCATATCTTTGCCAGTCACCTGAAGCGTCACCCCGCCCTGCCGCGGTGGTCTAGTGGCTAAGGCACTCGGCTGCTGACCCGCAGGGCGTGGGTTCAAATCCCGGCTGCGGCGGCTGCATTTCCGATGGAGGCGGAAATGTTGTAGGCCCATGTGCTCAGATTTGGGTGCACGTTAAAAAACCCCAGGTGGTCTAAATTTCCGGAGCCCTCCACTACGGCGTCTCTCATAATCATACAGTAATTTTGGGACGTTAAACCCCACATATCAATCAATCAATCACCTGAAGCGTCACCCCAGTTTTTCGCTCAAAAGGCAGCCGAACTTCAGCAAAACTCTCGTCGTCGGCTTAGCATGGACACATCACCGACAGTCCGTTCGACGTACGCCTCCACACGACACGGATGGTTCAAGCACAGAAGCGGCCGCATTGGCCACAACACCAAAGAGTGTCTTCAACCTTTCCAGACACGAATCTACTACCAAGCTTGTCAAAGTCCTCGGATGTCCATTCATGTTGAGGGAATATGTGACCTATCTGCTCTGGTGGATACCGATGCGGAACGAACGGCGCTACACTGACGTCATGCTCCGGACACTATCCGACCGTGGACGCAACCTCCCCTCTGCGGACTTGGAAGAAGTGCTATGCCAGTCGGAATGCTCGACATTTCAGTCTGGACGGCAGCGGGCACTAAAGTTCTTCCAGCCATTCCCGTCAATGAAGACCTGCCTGCCGACATGATGCTTGGTGCTGACTTCTTGCTATCTGATGACATTGAGCTCACCATACATCGCGGCCACGTCTAGCTCCGGTCTTCGACAGCTGGGACTACCGCCACAACCCTGCCACCACCGACAGGTGAGCCGTCCACTCCGCCTACCTTAACTTTTATATTGGCTCGCCATCAGCCAGTATACGCTAGCAATACAGCAGAACTGCCAGGCACTAATATGCTGCTCCATTGCATACCGACGGGAGATCATCCGCCAAAATGCGTACCACTGCGACAATACGCTGAACGAGAACGGGCAGTGATCGCAGAACAAGTAGATGAAATGCTTGCCACGGGCATTATTAGGCCGTCATCGAGTCCGTGGGCAGCGCCAGTCGTCCTTGTTCGCAAGAAAAACGGATCACTACGCTTCTGCGTGGACCAGAGGTAGCTCAATAAGTGTACAATGCCTGACTTCTACCCTTTACCCCGCATTGATGACGCTGTTGATACAGTATGTCACTGCAAGTTCTTTTCGTCGCTTGATTTACGCGCAGGGTACTGGCAGATTAACGTCGCGGAGGAAGATCGATGTAAAACGGCCTCTCGCACACCTTTTGGTTTGTATGAATTCAACCACTTGCCGTTTGGACTAAAAAACGCTCGTAGCGCTTTCAGCGTGCGATGAATTCAGTGCTCAAACCATTGAAAAACCAAGCCTGTGTAGTTTACTTAGACGACATCCTGGTCGTTGGCAGGACGGAGGATGAACACCTTCGCAATTTGGACGAAGTACTACACGGACTCTATGCAGCAGGGTTTCGTTTGAACAAAGAGAAATGCCAGTTTGGGGTGTCCAAGATTTCGTACCTGGGACATAATATATCTCCTGTCGGCATTCAGCCACTCCCGGAACGAATAGCTGCCGTGTCGCAGTACGCCACACCAACCTGCTTGAAGCAGGTTCAGTCATTTCTGGGTATGGCGTCGTACTTGCGAAGGTTTATTCCCCACTTCGCTTCGATCGACAGCTCCCTTGAGCGGTCTTCTTAAAAAAGACGCACGGTTTGAATGGGGCGTCTCACAAGAAAATTCTTTTCGAGATTAAAAACAAAAGCTCACTTGTTGCCCCATACTAAGTCACTTCAATGAAGACTGGTCCACCGAAGTGCACACTGATGCCAGCCAAGTCGGTCCAGGAGCTGTGTTAGTGCAGCGTGATCCAGATGGCGTGGAAAACGTGGTCGCTTATGCCAGCCGAAAACTTTCAGACACCTAGCGCCACTATTCCTCCAACGAGCTTGAATGTCTTGCAGTGGTATGGAGCGTCGATGATAAGTTTCGACGTTATCTTCTCGGGCGTAAATTCACTGTTGTGACTGATAATGCTGCTATAGCATGGATGTTCTCCAAGCAGCAACTTAAGCACGAATTTGCCCGGTGGATAATAACGCTGCAAGAATACAATTTTGACGTGCGCCAACGCGCTGGGGGGCTAAACAACGTCGCCGATGACTGCGCGCAACAAACCAGGCAAACCGACATTTTTTTTCGTCCAAATGGATATATCTCGAGCCCAACAGGAGGATAAAGGTTTGGCATCCATTATTGCATCTATTACTGACAAGGTAAATCACAGTACTTTTGTGATGCGCAATGCCGCATTGTGCCAGCGTCACTGGCAAGCGGACCAATCTGAAGAACGTTACCTCCTCGTGATCCCAAAATCTCACAGGTCAGAAATATTACGAGCCATTCACGACTCCCCAGAAGGCGGACACACCGGCCAACGAGCCACACTCCGGAAACTACAAGAACGTTTTTGGTGGCCGAAGATGCAAAGTAGCGTCCGTTGGTATGTCGCCAGTTGCAAAATTTGCCAGCAGTTTAAGCGACTGCCTGGGTGTCAACTTGGATTACTAACACCAATACAGATACCCGAAACAATTTTCCACACGATTG